TTTGTTAAAGTAAGTAGCATTACGTTTACTGCATAGTTACGGGTTACCAGTTAATTCGACCAATGTCAAATAAAATGTATCTATTTTCGTATATTTATGCAACTAAGTTCAAACTTAAAAGTCGATTCATCATCCAAGGGTTATCGATGTATAAAAAACAATTGATTGCTTAGCGAAGGTTATATTTAAGAATTCATTGTGAAAAATTTGATTGTTATTGATAGCCTTGAAAGAACTAATGACAATATAAAAATATGAAGCTCGGTTGGCGCAATTTCTAAGCGGTATACTTAATGCAGGGGATTTCGAATTCGAGTCTCAACTGGGATGAAAATTTTTCAAAATAAAAATCATTTATTCATCAATATAAGAAACATATACATTTCATCTATCGATAGTACTTTTTTTTTAAATATACCAGCGTTTCGTAACGAGTTTCCTCAGACGGAGAAGAAACAGGCGAAAGAAACTCCGATTTTGTCGGGGTTATTATCACTAATGTATTACCCCGTTTTTTGGCTTTATTTTTCGAACCGATGGTAGTATTTTGAGTATCAATAAGTGAGTTTAATGTTCCTATGTTGCATAAAGATATTTGAATTTGAATTTTTATGAGGCTATTCTTTTATAAATTTGACCTACACGTACGTAGTTGCTGCGTATCTGAATGTTTGTCTTTATTTCTTTCTTGAAATCGTTGGAGGATTGCCTACATTGCACCATGCGCATTGTTTAGCTTCTCCGACTTTAGGCATTTTCGTTTAGTATAGGCATAGGGCCTTTGTAGCCGTAGTTTGGTCCTCAACAGTGAAAACAGAAGGAATGAACAATAGGCTGTCCAGTGGTATAAGGCTGTGCCAAGCAGGCCGTTGTGATAGTGCCACTTTGGATGCGTGCTGGGAGTGGGCGAGATAGATTGAAGGATAGATACCATAATACATACATTATTATTTTTATTAACTACACAAAATTACAACTTCATATAAAACATGTAATTCTGTTGATGACCTTTTGTGAATAAAATATTAATACAGGTTCATGGTTTTCTTTGTTTTAAGGTTAAATAGTATTTATTATTGAAGAGAGAATATTACATACACGTTAAAAATTATTTATACTTTATAATGGGATGTGTTTAAAATTTAATCGTGAAAAGACAATATCTCTCTGGATATAGTTGAACGCAATGACGGAATATATTATAAAGTACCTGGAGAACCGTCCGAGCTATTATAACATTTTTTTTTCGGCGAAATTCACGGTCATATTCGAATGATATTTTTCATTCCTTAAAAACAAGAATAAAAGAACATTTTCTAAAAATGAAATGTAGCTAGATCGATTTTTCGCCTCCCAATCTACGCACATACAAATTTCATGAAAATCGCTGGAGCCGTTTCCGAGATTCCGATTATATATATACACAAGAATTGCTCGTTTAAAGGCATTAGATATACAAGAAGGACATATAAAGAAAAAATAATTATATGCAGACTGGCATTTATATTTTAGATGTATGTAATGTCTAAAGTAAAGTAAAAGTAAAGTAACAGCCTATACATGTCCCACTGCTGGGCAAAGGTCTCCTCTATACAGAGGGTATCAGGGCATAGTCCACCACGCGGCCCCACTGCGGACTGGCGGACTTCACATATCTTCGAAATATGTATATATATTTTTTTTTCGTTATTATTTCGAAAATATGCAGGTTTCCTCACGGCGGCTACGCTACCCTTCACCGCGGAGCACGTGATAAGTCAGCACTTAAAGTTAAAAACTTCATTGGTGCCGGCACCGGGGATCTAACTGAGGTTGCTCGAGTATGTTGAATTAAAGGCGAGCGCCCGGACACTGAGCTGTCTAAATCAATTAAAAACTTATTTTCGACAAAAGTACTGACTTTAAATCTAATAAACTGATCTAACAATATTTCCACTTTAAAGTGCTTAGAATATAATAAAATTTTAAAATTAGTGAAAAGACCTGCAAGAATATCTTCAAGTGCAATCTATGGAAATGCAGGATGGTTTTTTATTTTCCTATAATATTAACTGCATTATAAATTTAATCAAATCGAAGGATACTCGTTGAAATATGAAAATGTTACGTCCTGTACCTGTTGCATATATGTTGGTTGAGTGCTTTATATTAAAAGGTTTCAACATTGTACATAGGTAATTCTACAGGCGCTTGCAATCAAATCTATTAGCATATAATTAAATATATTTATATTGATGCGGAAATTAAACACTGAAGTATTGCACATATGTTACTAAAGCGGGTCGATTAAAAATAAAAGCCCGCTATATCTCGAGTAAGTAACGAAATTTAGAACTGAATTAGAAATCATAGCTGTGTCTGTGCCACTGGCTTTAATTGACGCCAGTGTCGCAAGAAGTGGAAATAAAGAAAATCGGTGTAAACATAGATTACGTCATTGTTCAACTTTCACGACTTGACTGCGCGAGTCGCCAGTAATAGAAAAATCGATAGTTCGCGTTAAGCCATACATGAACATACGACGGCGAGCGTGTGTACTCGCACTCATAAATGCACTCCATTATTGAGGCGTCTATTGCAATTATATGGAAAGATATCTGCATTGGTACGTTCCCGTGTCTCTCCCCTAATAATATAATTGCAACTCAAAATTTGTCGAAATCAGTAGGTATTAATGGTGATCGTGATTTTTTGTAATAATAAATTTTTTGCTCACATTAAGCACACCTAAAAATGTTTCGTTGTGCATGCAACACATCACTATAGCGATAAGATCGGCGGAAGACTAGAAACACGTTAGAAACACACGTCGCGGGACATTAATAAAACGAAGGCACCTAGAGGCCAAAGATTTGTCTGTAGCGACATTGTATCTTCCGAATCGTTGTTTTTATTCCCATGAGTAAATACAATAATAGAAGAAAAGAAAACAGAACACTGGCAAATTGGGTACGTTTCATAAATTCTATTGAAATCTCTTAAAGGGTACTTTGATAAGGTAACAAAGGGAAGCAGCACGAATATGAGGGACATAACAGGTTCAAAAAAGTTTTATGATATTATTGAGGAACAAATAATCTCGCACACTTCTTGAACCTAAAGATCCGAAGTTCTCTACAAATGCTTAGCTTTATGGGATTTTTTGTAACGTTAAATGTCTATTTTGACCGGACTAAAATGGTAAATTCTATCCATTATAAAACAAACTTACATAGTCTGTATGTGCTATTTTCATTGTTGAGTATTTATAAATGTTAAGTTAAATATATCATTGCAAACATATTATATTTTTGCGAAGTAAAATTTGCTGTATAAAGATATTGCAAATGTATGTACATTTAAGTAACTTTTACGCAACGGTGCGCGGTGATATAACGCAATATTTGGCACACCCTTTTCACCGAAATAATTTTCTAGGCCATTGACTACTTTATATAATTTTAGGTTAAAGTTTAACGAGGCAGTTTAGAGAAACTTTTTGGTAAAAAATACCTGGTTTCATTCGGCAGGTATAATTTGGTTTTTGTAAAGGGGTTGAATGTGTTGGTGGGTCTGTAGCGCAGGTGCAGGAATGGTGGGGCCGTGGGGGAGAATAGTGTTGGTATCGATCTCTCTATCCTTCGCGGCCGAAACGCGGTGAGCGACGGGTCCACCATCGTCTAATGTTATTTAATTATTCGGAGGAAAAGCGGATTGGAGGCGGCGGCTACGCTACCCATCAAATTTATACGTTAGCCGCCAAATGTGATTCTTGGTATGTACAATGATTAATCATTTTCTAGGGTTGATGTAACAATCCCCCTCGATCGGGTTCCCGCCTTGACGTGGCGGAGGGGCTTAGAGCCGTGGCTTGGTACGGCGAAGCTAAGAGGAACCCACACTGGGCCGGCTTGTGGTGTAAGGTCGGCCCGAGAGGGCAGCTCCGAGTGGGTTCATCGAGCCCACTCTGGATGCGTGCTGGAGGGTGCAGGGGACAGGTCGAGGGTGGTAGAGGTGGAGCCACTCTCCCTGTCTTCTGCTACCGAGGAGGAGGCGCGGGGGAAGAGGAGTGCCGGTATTGCGTTGGCCGCGACTCGGCGGGGCTGCACCGTTGTTGCAGTGGTGGTGGGGCCGCGGGGGGAGATGAGTGTCGGTATTGCGATGCACCGTTCTCCCTACCCTCCGCGGCCGATATGTAATGAGCGGCGGAGCCACAGACCAGGTCCGCCGCTGGGGGTTTGGGAGGCTAGCTGCTTATTAGCACTGGCTCTCCTGGCTCCCATAGCCTCGGTCAGCGAACTCGGGGGAGTTCTTTGGCCTTGAAAATGGGGCTGAATAGGAAGGCGCGCTGAATGTTCCAGCGCGCCTTACCTGGAGGAGAGGGGAGTTGCTCCCGGGGAGCATGAGGCCGGGGGTCTGAGGCGGCAAGCGCTGGCAGGTCGCGGAAGTGTGCCAAAGTGTTCCCGTGGCCCTGCCGATATTCGCCTAGGTGCAACATCGTGGGGGTTTTAGTCGGTGCGAGCCCGACATAACCCGCTCTTGCCCCCGTGAGGGCGGGTATGCGTAGGCATTTCCCCCACGTAAACAAAAACAAAAAAAAGGTTGATGTAACAATATTCTTTAAAAAATATATCGCAAACGAAGCTTTGAGTTATTAACAAAAGTGTAGATCAATTCATTAGTTCCAGATATTGCCCCGTTAAGAAATAAGTAAAATAAAAACCATGTTTCAGTATTTAAAATGTGGAGGTACGATAAAGAGTAAAATTACTCAAATTCAAGCGTTTATTTTTTGCGAAACTGTTAACGGTCCACGCTGACTATGCATTAGCGGACCGACTTACCTACTTAGAAAATTTGAGAAATTTCTGTATTGCAGTGAGGAGTTTCAAGTTCGTCAATAAATGCAAATTACGTATGAGGAATAAAATTAAAATTATCAGCCTCTTCTAAGAAATTCAGTAACACACACATTACCTGTCTAAAATAAGAATGAACGAATTAAACAAGTATCTACGTACCCAATCTCATTTTGTGGATCGAGAAGGTGTTTATGGAGCATTTGATATTGGAGAACTCCAATTGTACGGTGCATCGCGGCATAAGAGGCTCCACATTGTTGTTGTCCATGCCCACCATGGCGTGGTGTTCCACGATGCCCAGAGTCATTTTAAATGCGTGTAAACACGAAATGTCACTTTTACGGAACAAACCGCTGGTTTCAGTTTCTTCTTCTTCTTTGATTAATGGCCTGTCTTCAGTTTTCCCCCACACTTTCTGATACGCAGATTCGGCATATGTATATCTCACTCACACTGATCGGAGTCCAATAAAAATATCCGTTTAAAAAGAATCTTCTGGAGTGGTGTTCTGTGGGCGCGGATAGATCGCTGCAAATAAACGTATCGTATATGTTAATATTTATAAGGTCACTAATATGTTTACCCTAACAGATAACCATTAAAGCTAATTAGTTTAAATACTGTTTTAATTAAAATTTTTATTTATAAAAACATCATCGTTATCTATCAGGTATAAGGAAATGAGAACTGATCTATTTTGTTGATCAATAAACAGATTCTCTTCTTTGCTAATTGCTAATTCTCTTCTTTAATCCAAGCCTAACTTCAAATACTCATTTTCTTCTCATAAATTAGCAGCTTTACTAGGAATATAAGTATAGCAGTATTTGAAATATTGATTTCTATTTGAATTTATATAGGTATTGATTTTATATTTGTATTTGAAAAGCTGGAACCTTATTCCTTTATTCTTAATCCAAGTTTAATTTAAAAAAAAAACAAAGTAAAATAACATTTTGAAATGTGGGCGAGCGAACTACGAGTAACATCACGAATTTATAATAAAAATAAAACGATATAAAATTCAGAAAATGGTTTCATTAATCATATATAGTATTCGCTTAATAAGATTGATTGAGATCGCTTGATAAGAAATCACTCCACTCCAAATTAAGTCTAAGTTTCCATAAGGCTTTATAATATTAATATAATGCATTTTCTGAAAATAGTTTTTTATTAGAAGATAAATTTGTAAGAAGATAATCACTATAGTTATATTGAATAAAAATACAATTTGTAAATGATTAAATGCAGCACGTTATTTCCTTTTTGATCAAGATTATGTGAGATTGCTTACAACGTGATAGTAAAATTGTCTTAAGAATTTTAGCTATAGACAAGTAATGAGAATATTATGTATATATAATTTTTTTGTTAAACATGTCAACAACAAGTCAACAACAACAAGTCTTGAAGTCTTATGTCTTAAGTCTTCTAAAGAAAAGAGATATATTTTGTGCTCGGTGTTTATCCCAGACAAAACAAACGCAAATTATCTTCTGAGGTCATGAACTAGTTTTGTGGTGTATGATTGTAAAATACTTTCATCGTCCAAACCAAACGGCGAAAAAACAATTATGCAAGGTTGATAGATGACCTTGTTAGAAACCCAGCTGTGGAGGACATGACACTGAACCCAACAGCAATTGTGTTATCACTTCAAACACAATTCATTTCCGTGAACGGTCAATTCTATTTGCGCGTATACAGCCCTCGATGATAACGCAGATGATGATAATAAATTTTAGCCATTTAAAATGTCACTTGAGTAAGGAAAGAGTTGAAATTTTAGCCATTATCGGGGAATTTTATATGAATGCGAAATAACTTATTTTGTTTCATCTCTTTTAGTAAATTATTTGTGATAATTTAAAGAAAATAATTATAAACGACATTAATCAAAGTATCATAACGGTTCAGTTTATTAATTTATTATCAAAATACAATTGTTTATGAAATTAAAATACTACAATTGCCAAAAAAAATAAGAAAATCATATAATACGTGGTACTGTGGTACGTGGTATTCAGAAGTGTTTCAAAAGCATTACAATGTTTGTGGTTGTACAAACAATCTACTATTATAGTTTCTGGTCGCATCATGTTTATGAATCATTTTTTATCGGGTATTGACGCAGATGTGTGTACTGTATGAATCCTAAATGAATTTTGTCGGTTTGAACTGATTGTAACGTTACCGCTGTCTACATCTTAGTCATGGTTATTTTGTCATGGAGAATTACTCTTGTCAAATCTGACAAAGCCATGCTTTCATAACGTTATTTATGAAAATTTGTAGCAAATGCTATTAGAATTAAAATTACGTTTGATATATTCCCATATCTAGAAGGGACATGTCTCTTATGATCTTGTATGATAATTTGTAGTAAATGCTATATGACACCATCAAAAATTCAATTCATTACAACACAAATCTCATACGATGTGAAATAATATGACTACGATATAATTTATTTGTTTGTTCATAGGTCATAGTGGAATAATTCACGTTGTTTAAAAATGATTACAATAATATAAATTTTAAAGACACGTATGCTTAGATGCATTGAGGTGGGAGAGAAAAAAGTTGTATCCCCCGCAATGATGTAGATATGTGTCCTAATGAATAAAATACAGAGCGTCTAGAACACTCGCTAGATATTTCTGCACGATATAATAACATGTTACAATGGATTTAGTATGACGTAGATTGTAGTGCAGCATTTATACCAGACGGCTGGTCAGATAAGAAATGTATTTGAAATTGCAGCTTAAAAGAAATTTAAAATGTGATTAGAACAAATAATGAATAGCAAAAAAGGATATAAAGTAAAAATGTAATTATTTAAAACTAAAAAAAAATACCAGTGTAGTAGTCATAGTTGAATCACAAAACCTGTGAAAATTTTGTTCTATAAATTTTCTTAATATTTCCAAAAATACTTATATGCTTATACTCCTAATTAGAGTGTGGTAGAGTTTATTGACTATCAATAAAGTAAGTGAATGCTTCTATATTGAATAAAGATTAAAATAAAATAATTATTGCTACTCGCATATAAACAAGGCATAGCCTTTATGTCAGAATAGCAGGGCTCCCAAAGCATGAAGTACGTAATTAGAAAATTTTATTTCATTTTATTAAAGTTCTACCTCTCTTGGCGCGTTCAGCAAAATTATAAGAGTGAAATTTTTACGATGAGCGCATACCGAACCTTAAAAAGCGACATGATGCTTTTACATTCTTGCATGGTTACCAATTTATTCTTTGCAACCAATAACAACTACTTGAAATTTACCAATCATTCCATTATATTATAATTTATTTAAATAAACTGTTATCAATTGCATTTAATGTATTTACACTTTACGCTAAAGAAGTATAACTTCTTACGTGCGTATATACGTCCACATATACTTTTTTTATACTTCGACACAGAAATATGGTAGAAACGGAGTTTTTAGGCTTCCGCATCCAAAGGTTAAAATGGGTAAAACCCTGTTACTCTGCTGTCTGTCTGTCTGTCCGATGTATTACTGTGAAATAAAAAAAAAATAGAATATATATAAAGAATAAAATAAAAAAAAATACGCGGGCTACATATGTAGCCCCCTACTGTTGCCTAGCAACAAGATACCTAGCAATAATATTCACACTGAACGAAGATATAGTCCGATCTTCCGTTTAGTGTGAATCTTTCATTTTATATTACTAGTGTTCGGCGGTGAAGTGTGAACCCGTACATGTGTATATTTTTAATCGAATATAATTTTAATGTACATTTGTTACAAATACGGTGGGGATTTTAATTTTAATAATAAAGCCATTTTCGTATGTGGATTTTATATTCATTGTTTGTTCTTTCGCAAATAAAAAATAGCTACTTTTTTAATGAAATATCTTAGGATAATCTTGGTCATGGATTATTAATTAACTTTCCTTTATTACCTTTATTTTATCACTATCAACTTTCTTTTATAACTTTATAAATGGGCCAATTATAAAAATGTCACAATATTATAGGATTTATATGCAAATTAATAAAGAAAATATCAAAGAAATTCATATAAAACGAGGATTTTTAGTGTTGATTGCAAAGTATAATTACTTATCTCGTTTACAGCACAGAAAAACCTATTAAAAGCTGTTAATAGAACAAATTAGTTACAGTGATTAAATACGGTGTGACTCTTAAGTAAGGTCGTTAATTTTAATTTAACGTGATGTTATTTCTTAGCGCATCATATAATATTTATAATTGTTTTCTGCTACCGATAGGTCTCCTTAAGTTTAAGAAGCATTCGATTTGAAGAAATCCCAAGTAAACGGATCGATAAACAAATCGGATATAGGTACAGAGATTCTCTAGTTGTAATAATTTCTTGTATTTACGCGTTTAAACTAAATAAAACTATGTTTACGGATTTATCACTTTTATTTTTTGTTTCAATATCCGACGTTTCGAACCCTTTACAGATTGTGTCAGACTGTGTCTGTCCCGTGATAATGAACGCTGTAAAGAGTTAAACATAGTTTCATTAGTTCTCTGATGTTGCGACGCAGACGCTTATGTTCGCCACTCGTACAACATCATAAGGCTATACATGCTGCCTAAGAAGGCAAAGCTTCCCAGCCTCGTCCGGAGAAACCGGTGTTAAATGTAAACGATATGATTATGCATTTCGTCTAGTGAGTGAGTTAACCGTTGCTTTCTCTTTTAACTGTTAGCTGTAGAGGAAACCTCACTGGTATCACAGATGTCTTTAGGGAGCGGTTATCAGTTTATCAACACGCGAGCCTCTGATCGCGTGCCACCTTATCACAAAATAAAGGTAAATTTTAGATATAACACTAGTAATGTTCCTTGGGGGACCTTGGGGAATAAAATAAAAAATAAAATTCCTTCTACGGGCAGGCCAATGTTCAGCAGTGGAGTCGATTTGGCTGAAATGATGATGGCGAATTTTTCTAGGTACAGTTTTAAAAAATGTTAATCAAAATATATACGCTAGAGGTATAGAACAGAAATAAAATAGAGTAAATATTCTGGTTGTGAGTGATTTAAACGAATGCACAAGATTGGTAAAAGTAAGTTTTGATGCAATAATGATCATGAATGTGCAGCGCAATAAAATGACGTTATGTAATCATACATATCGTGCAGCGTAACGTTATACAAACCAATACTATAAGTAGAATAAGCAAACTGCGAAGTGTGATGTGAAATTTGGTCTTACTCGTATATTAAAAAGGATGTCCCCGACAAGTTTTTAATAATGTAACGTGAATTATTTCGTACAAGAATTA